GAGACCTTTCAATAGTGCAGCTCATCAAACTCTATCCTATAGACAGTCGACTTTGAAATGTTTAGCGACTCGCAAATTTCGCGAATTTTTTGGCTTATATATATCCGAAATTTGTGTGAAAGGATCTGATTTCAGAGTGTTCGGAGAAATAGTGTCCAGCTTTATTTTCCCGAACGTTCGGAGAAATAGTGCCGGCCTTTTTTAAATCCCCCCCGTTTATCGATTATTAACTTGTAGACCGCTTGTCCACCCCCCTTTCTTTTTTATTTGATACCTTAGAGTACACACACATACGCCTTTTTGACGTGAACTCGCTTACTGGGTCGGACAAAGGTCAAAATATTGTGCTAATAAAAGTGATGAATTTCGGAAAATTCCTCCGTTCCCAACGATGGCTGGCGTATTCACGTTTCATATTTTCTCGCCTGCACTCAGAACAATACCGTCCAAGCAAAAGCGTTCTCCTTGCACATTTCCAACCATGTCACCGAACACGTCCCGAATCCAGCGAAATGGAAAAGGGGTATTGATTGTTTGTTGTTTGTTGTTTTTTGTTTTTTGTTTGTTTGTTTTTTTGTTTGTTTTTTGTTTGTATTGCTTCTCTTTGGGGGTTGTTTAGTTGTCTATTTTGTTTGTTTGTTTAGTTTGGTTAGGTTTGTTTTTTGTTGTTGTTTATTTTGCTTTGCTCTGTTCCTCTCCTTTTGATTCTCCTGTACCCTGTGCTATATTTAAAACTTTTATTTTGTTTTGTATTCCCCTTCGTAAACAACTGGGAGTGACGTGAAATTGGAGGGAAGTTTGTTTGGAATATTTTTACCTGCATTTTTTGTTTGTTTGGTTTTTTTTAAATCACTCAAGCTAAACAAGCAACACAGGCTGTGCTGGTGGGGCCTGTCATGGGGCGTTATCTGACGTGAACAAACAGAGCGGCGATTGAGACCACGAGGCTCCTGAACCGGACAGCACTTCATTGAAAGGAGGGTGGAGGGTGTTAGTTTTAGGGGGGAGAAGGAGAGAGAGAAAGAGAGAGGGGGGAGTGTGTGTGTGTGTGTGTGTGTGTGTGTGTGTGTGTGTGTGTGTGTGTGTGTGTGAGAGAGAGAGAGTATGTGTGTAAGAGAGAGAGAGAGAGAGAGAGAGAGAGAGAGAGAGAGAGAGAGAGAGAGAGAGAAGGGTGGCGGTGCGAAGCTAGGCCTTGCTGCGAGTGCCTTAAGGTCGTTAGCCTGTGTACTGAATGATATGGTTTGGATTTGTATTTGTGTTTTTGTTCTCTTTCTGTCCAAGGTGGGCCGTTTGAAGTGTGACTTTCAACGTGAATTTTGAATACAGGAGAAAAGGGAAGGTCAAAAAGGAAAGGAAAGGAAAGGAGTGAGGCAATCCACCAAACAATATCGCACACGTTCATCGTATCTTTAAAAAGTATGTAGCCACAGCATTTGAGGATTAAACGTGTTTCTGGTCTTTTGCCCCCCCCCCCCCCTGGACCCTTACCCCCGCGACCCACTGTTTCCTTTTACAAAACCTATTCGGGGGGAGGGTTTCATCGTATTAGTGGGTATGGCTTCAGCATGTCCTATATGCAGTAAGGTTAATAATGGGACAGCACCTCTAATTTATAATCAATCTCTAATCGTAGGCTACTCATGCCATTAACGCAAGTGGTCGTTTGTGGCGCTATGGCCCGGGTGGCTCTGGTTCGCACTTCTATTGAGGAGTTTTAGACTGTCCACCTACTTGTTTCGGTTTTATCGGAGACGAATGCTGACATCAGGGGCCGCTCAAATGTCTTTCGACTAATCTCTCAACTGTCTCTCAACTAAGTTTATATCTTTTAAAGGGGCTTTAACCTTTTATTACTTTTAATCCGAGATTCGAGTTCATGAACGATCCGTAGGAGACTGAAAACAGAGTTGTTGGGTTGTTGTTTTTTATTTTACCTTTCTAAAAGAAGAATTTCACTGAGAAAGGGCTGTCGGAACAGACTCTTTCTTCGCTGAGCCCTGAAGACATTTGATTGGCTGTTAGGTTACTCTCGTATAGCTGTGAAAACAGTGTCAGGATAAACGAGCAATGGCATGTATTCACTATATGCAACTACAGGCGGAAGATTCTGAAGCAGTCTCGATTATGTCGTTGATTAAGAACAACTGTATTCGTAAAGAAAAAGTTGGGGTGGGAATAGGTGGGACTCAAGCCCTTTAGCCTTTCGTCACCCCCCCCCCCCCCCGGCCACTGCATACCATACCATACCATACCATACTATACCATATCACTTACTATACCATATCACATACCATAACCGTTACCAAACCGTACCATACCATACTTGTTACCATACAACACCATATCAATACCGACATAACCTTTACCATACCATACCGTACCGTACCGTACAATACCATACCATACTAGTACCATACCATAGACCCATCTTGCAAGGCTGTATCAGCACCACTCGTCCCTTTTCCCACGCTGCAAGGTGAACGCAGTTTTTAAGGAGCGGGCACAGGTTGCAGTGACCGGCCCTATAGAAGAACAGTGACGTGTGTGTGTGTGTGTGTCTGTTCAAATGTTTTTCCTCATGCTTGAAAGAAGGGCACATGTTTTTAAAAGCTTCAGGAAATCATGTGAACGGGAGAACAAAAAGGGGGGAATACGTGGGCGGAAAAGAATGGGATATAATAATATTATAATGATATAGAGAAGAGAAGTTGAGGTGAAGTAGAAAGAGAAGGGAGAAGAAAACCAAAAAAGATATATGAAGGAGATGGGAAGGGGAGAGCAGAAGACACAAAAAAGTAGGAGAAGGTGTAGTTGAGAACGAATGTGTGTGTGTGTCTGTTTTGTTTGTTTGTGGGCACGCGCGCCGCGCTCGTGCGCGTGTGTGTGTGTGTGTGTGTGTGTGTGTGTGTGTGTGTGTGTGTGTGTGTGTGTGTGTGTGTGTGTGTGTGTGTGTGTA